TACGCCACTGAACTGTACACTCCTACAACTGTGTGGACGTGCATATGCTACTGAACTGTAAACTACCACAGCCGTGTGGGTGCACATACGCCACCGAACTGTCCTCTTAAAAATGACTAAGATGATGAGTCAGACAGCGCTATGCCTGTCATCACAACAAAAAGGGAATTTTTAAAATGAGCTGTAAAGCGGGTAATTAGATTCTGGGACACAATACAGGCTGATTGAGGTTTATTCAGGGAGAATTCACTTACACAAAAAACAGACGACCACCACATGTTCCCACCCCAAGGATGTCCTTGGATCTTCTCTGTTTCCAACCCGGAAGTAAGAGAGAGCATCCGGTCAGGACCCAGACCTAGACTCTACCAGTCACGCCCACACCTGACCACACCCCAAAGGGCATGGTCAGTGCAGCAGGTGTGGGCGGGGTGAACATCTCACTACAGAGCTGATTAACAGGTGTATAAAACTTAATTCTTCTTCACCTTCCTGAGAGTCAATAGTCCTGTTTTGTGAACTCTCTCTTGTTCATAAAAGCATGTGTCTAAACACTGAGTTCCTAAAGTTCTTTATTCGGTGACCTTTGTTCTCACTTGGTGACAAATCACCATCGACGATTGGTCTAGCTCAATGTAGTACCAGCACCACTGACCCACCAAACCCTGAATGACTTGTCAGCTTGCTCCACTGATGGCAATTCTGGCTGCCCTGGGTTCTTCAGTGAATTCTTTTCCTGGCAACACAAGCGCCATTTTAATAAAATTGCCTCCATGCAGGAGGACAATGCTAGAGCAAGAAGGTGTGGGGAGGGATGCGTCCTGAAGATGTTTGCTGGGGAGCTAGCCTGGCCGCTCGAGAACGTTGGAGTACCGCAGAGGAGCCCAGAGGATGGGGCTGCTGGAAGAGACTACATTTTAGGTGGTTATGCTGTCTGTCCCCTGCTTAGTTACAACCATGGTCTCAAGCTTGAAGGACACTGCTATAGGCCAGTGGTTCTCAACCTTTACACACAGTCCTGTCAGGGGGTCACATGTCAGATATTTACATTACGATTCATAGCTGTAGTTAAATTACAGTTATGAAGTAGCAGTGAAAATAATTATATGGTTGGGGGGGGGTCACCACAACAGGAGAAACTGTATTAGAGGGTCACCGCATTGGGGGGAGGTTGCAAACCACTGCAGTAGACAGACATCACTGATTGGGAACCCTTTGCTCAAGGATTGGAGTTGAGGTAGTGGGGGTCAGCTCTCAGGGAGGCCTTGTGTTATCTGGAGAAGGAAGTGGTGTCCGGGAGTCCCCTGTTCTTGGGGTCCTTGAGGAGCAGACAAAGGAGGGAAGAGGAGATTTTAAAAAAGAGGCTCCAATTACGCCACCACCATTTCTGGTCTTAAGTGATGCCCTGTTAAGTAGCTTCTAAGTTCAGCTGCATGGACTTTTCCTGTCACCACCTGGTGTGCGTGCCGACTCTTGCCCCTTTACACAGTTTGTCTCATTTTCTAGAGCGCCATAAATGATGCTGTAGTTGTTGGGTAAGCTGGCTTGACTTTGAGTTTTAGAGAAAAGCCAAATCAATTCACAACGGGGCCCAGTTTGTCATCTCTCAACTGTGTGGCAAAGTCATTTTGTAGGGCTGTGTTAGGTTCCTGGAATTAGAGTTTAATTAAAGAGAGCCTGTGTCAATTTCACAAAACCCTGTGAGCCAGACAGAGAAGCTTACACAGAGGCACCCAAGGAAGCGGTAATCAGAATGGACTTTTAGAGGACTGGGTTTAGCTCTGGAACCGGCTGTGTGGTCTGTGTTAGCATGAAGGTAGCCTTGGTCTGTTCGCGAAGCGGCTGTGACTTTTATCCCCAGCCCAGGTCCTCTCGGCTATGAGAAATACATTTAAAGGAACAAATGAGTCACCCGATTTGCCAATGACTCCCAGGAGTGAAATCGGTGGGAACTTGCCAAGTATGAGTCAGGATTCAACTTAATTATCCTGAAGTATTCTCTGCATTGTATTAGACCATGCTTGCAGCTTCCTGGAGAAAGAACCCAAAGGAGTATAGATAAAGACTCTACATACTTATAAGATCACGCAAGAGGACTTCCTCAGTGATGACTCCTATCTACCCCCACCCCAGGATTGTCTCCGATGTGACATATGTGGTCAGAACTAGGCTAGTCCTTGAGCACCTGGTGTGAGGACCTCAGATGCGGGGTGCTGACAGTAACCGGAGGAGAACGCTCTGCTGAGAAGATGATGGCAGCATTATTTATAGGGAAACTGGTTTCCAGCAAACCATCTCAGCTTAGGTCACTTAGTTACATTGTTCTAGGTCACTTAGTTACATTGTTCAAGAAGGACGCCAGAGCTATGGAGCTTTGGTCTAAACATGGACCAGTGAGCCCTCGTGGAAAGCTTGTTGTGTCTGTGTCATCCTGACTCCCCGGAGTTCCACTGATGGGAGTAGGGGGGGGGGGTTACTGAGGTCATGACCTCACGATGCTAACCCTGCTTCATTAGGTAGGGGTTCTTAACCTTTCTCTACTCTAAGCCCTTAACACCTATGAGATTTTTATATCATTCTGAGTAGCTAAGTATTTAAAATAACTTACTGGTAACAAATCATAAATATATATTAAAACAATTGTTATACATGTTTTCACCATTTATTGAAGTCTAAAGTGTATTTGCGCACTAATAGGATAGTATGCTTGTTTATTTTTAACCGAGGAGACATCTCTCTAGCTCTGATATGCTTGTTCATTTTTTTTTTACAGAAAGAATTAAGCATTGGCTGAATATTTGAGCTGCCAGACCAAAAAAAAAGCATCTTCAGTGTTTCTCAGAGTTCAATATTTTGATTTTGTAATCATCGGTGCTGAGAAAGCCACGTTGCATAAAAACATAGTACAAAATGTCAGAAGTGTGCTTAAAGCCGTTTCAGAAATTACTGGAAATTCTGTCCTGATGTCAAGCCAAAATTCACTTAATGGTTGTTCTTTGAGACAATCTAGTCAGCAACTGAATCAGGAACTTAAGAAATCAAACACCCTAAAACAGTTTGATCCAAAGATACACTAATTTGATACATGGTGACCAGTGAGAGTAGGAAACGTCTTTGTTTCCATTATTAAACTACTATGTTTCCGTAAGAGCAGAAAACATTGCTGACAATAACAACAACAACAACACTACAATCCCTAACATACAGTAGCTGTGAACCTGAACGGAGATGTGTCACACAGTGTGGTGTAGCGCAAACAATAAAAACCCAGAGACAGGCAGATATCCGGGTTCAAGCTGGAGATCAGAAAAGCAGAGCAGCCAGCCAGTAGCTCTCACCTCTACAAAGGCTGAAACGGAGATCCCGTCCTCCCTGTGACTGGAAACTGAATCTCACATGAGACTCTTTGCTTCTTCCTCTAGTGCTGGGATTAAAGGCATGAGCTCTGTTTCTCTTTTAGACTGAGTCACTCTGGGGTAGCCCACTGTGGCCTTGAACTCAGAGAGAGATCACCTGCCTCTGTTTCCTGAGTCCTTGTATTAAAGGGTACCACCACTGTCCAGCTTCTATGGCCAACTACTATGGCTGGCTTTGCATTCTGACCCCTGGATAAGCTTTATTAAATCATAAAAAATATGTGAGTTTGTTCTGTGTGGATGATGGCATGCACAGGACAAAGTGCATATGTTCGTTCAGAGTCAAGGCTACAGGAAAGTCCCACACGGCACCACGGGTGACTGCCACCTCGGACTCACTGCACATTTGATTTTGAATTGGTTTTAGTCCTTACATGTTCATGAGTGTGTGTGGAGCTAGGGGGTGGGCATTGACACAGGGTTTCTCTGTGAAGCCCTATCTGTTCAGGAACTCACTCTGAAGACCAGGCTGGCCTTGAACTCATGGAGACCCACCTGCCTCTGCCTCATGTTCAGAAGAGTTTCATTGTTCCCAGTTTCTTTTTGCATGGCCACCTTCAGTTATATGACCCCACTGTATTAGGACTGTTAATGAATCACAGGAATTAATCGGAGTAGCCCTGTGTCCTCCCAAATCCCTAGGAGAACAACTTCCTTCTGCCCAAGGGCCTGTTCTAGCTGTTTATAAGACAATCAGAAAGGATTCTAGATGCTTTCCTGCCTTGTGTGGCAGTCACCTAACCTGGACTACAGAGGCTGAGGTTGGAGTGTCCCCCCCCCCCCCCCCCGCTTTAGCTGTGGCTTCCCAGCATCTGGCAGGAGATTGCCTTTATCAGGGAGCTGCTCTAGACTTAGTTTGTGGGCAAGTTGTGACCTGCTTGGGTTTTGTCTGAACATGGTCCCTGGCGTCTACTCTTTCTACACCATATCTGCCATCCACAGCTGTGAAGTCTGGAAAGGGATCCCAGAACCCAGACCCAACAAAGTGTCCTCTTTGGGTGCCCTGACATCACAAACCATCTTTTCTGTCAGCCCCCTTTCCCGTCCCTCTTTTTCCTGCCCATTTTCATCCTACGCCCCCGCCCCCGTATGAATGACATACACATGAGCGGTGTGTCCTATTTGCCCCACCAAGAGCCAGCTCAAGCCCTGGCTGCCTCGTAGCTTTGGGAAGTATTTCCAAAGTGGGAGAAAACAGTCACTGGAAACTTCAGCTGTTGCTAAAGTAGGAATTTATTACTCAGCCATCTTGGCCCAAATCAGGAATCCATGTGGACAGGCTGTGGGCATCTCTCCTAATGGCACTGCCAGGGATACCTTGGTTGGCATCTGAGACAGTGTGTCTTTCCAGCAAAGAATGACTGGTTGCCACTGAATCTTAGACATACCACTGAGGCTGTGGAGACCCAGCCAGTGGACTTTACTTGTATGAGATAGAGCATAGCTGTAGCTCTTTGTTCCAGTCCCCTCTCCTGTCCCCAAACCTCTGCCGAGAGCACAGAGAGCCACCAGCATCTGGCAGAAAGCAAATGCAGCCCAGAAATTTGGCAGGCAGTGACCAGTTGTAAACTTGTCTTTCCACAGTGTGCGGCTGCGACCTCGCCCAAGGAGGCTTCTTCATAAAGAACGGGGACTATCTGTGCACCCTGGACTACCAGAGGATGTACGGGACACGGTGCCATGGCTGTGGGGAGTTCGTGGAGGGCGAGGTGGTCACTGCCCTGGGCAAGACCTACCATCCCAACTGCTTTGCCTGTACCATCTGCAAGTAAGTGGCCATCCTTCCCAAGCCTCTGGCGCCCTACAATAGAAAAATGCTGGCTTCCACAGGGGAAGCTTCTGACAGCTTCTCTGGTCCGGAGTAGCACAAGGTCTTAAATAGCCTCTTCCCAACATGTCTCCTCTTGGCTGTCTACTCATTCTTGATTAAAGCTCAGTAGAGTTGGAAAATTTTATTTGTATCTTCTGTGACAGTTGGTAAGTGGCTCAACTAATGCCTCAAGGGACCTGGACCTCCAGACAGTAGGGAAGGGACAGTGACAGGTTTCTTGGGAGAAAACGCTCACTGTGGAATGGAGGTGCTTACATCAGTATGCTTCAGATGGCTTCTTATAGCTGGGCATTGAGGTATGTACCCACAGTCCTGGCCTCAGAAGGTGGAGGGCAGAGAGAGGGTTGCTTGAGTCCAGGCATTCAAGACGAGCCTAGCCAATGTAGCAGGACCGCCTCTTCCTGAAGACGAAATGGTCTCTTCACTGTAGGCTGTAGGTTGGCAACGACTCATGGGTCAAATCATTAGTCTTTAGTTTGTTTTTGAGATAGGGTCTCACTATGTAGCCCTGGCTGTCCTGGAACTCACTGTATAAACCAGGTTGACCTCGAACCCAGCAAGATCTGCCTGGCTCTGCCTCTCAAGGGCTGGGGTTGAAAACATATACCACTATGCCCAGCTGCAGGTCTTTCTTTTAAAGAAAGTTTTATTGGCTGTTTGTTTGCATAGGGGCTAGAACCTCTGTCAGGTACTGTGACAGGGTTGAGGACCCCTGACAGAGACCAAATGATCTACAAAACCTAAAGAGACACCACTGATGGGTGTTTGAGGGAAACCTTTGCCAACTGCTGATCGCCAGGTGTCTACGTAACACAGCCTAATAGAAATGATCACTCTGAGGGAAGGAAGCAGACATGGGTAGGGGATGCACTGCTGTGTCTTGGGAGCCACACATTATAAAAGGAAGATGCCTTGGACTCTCTGGCTGGGCACACAGAATTTGACTGGTACCATAGAGGATCTTCACTGATTGGAAACGGGGTCTAAGCTTGGGTGGGGTCAGCCACACTCCAGGAGTTCCGCATGGAAAGGCACACTTGCTCTCATGGCCTCAAAAGAGCTACCTCAGCCGAGGACAAGGAGCACCTGTACCTGCCCCAAAGATCTTGCCTGCCTCGCCCAGTCCTGTCCCTAAGTGGAAACTAAAGAACCCATGCTTGTTGTGTTTACAGACCCTCGGCCCTCTAATACTCCCCTCACAGAATGGACTAGAGGCTCGTTCAAGTTTAGTGAATGTGTGGGAAGCCAGAGACCCACTTGTATTCCACAGTGTACTTTATTTATATTTATTAACACAGTTCTGTGGCGGGTCGGTGAAGCCTGCCCCTGCCTGTGGCCTCTGTATCTGTCCAGTGAAAGAAACGAAGGTACCACTTCAGAGAGGGAGCCACTGATGTCCCAAGGACTTTTAACATCGGAGGTGTGAGACTATAGTATCCCCACGAACACTGGATGGCTGGTACCAATCATATCGGTGGTATTAAGTCCAGAGGTACCAGCGAGTGTTTACCATGGTTAATTGTCAGCGTTGGGTCTTGGAGAGATGAGTTAAGTGGCTGTGAAAGTGCATGCAGGTCCAGAAGCTTGGACTTGCACCAGACTGCAGGCTTCTGACTCGTTCATGTTGCCTGGTCTGGAGAGTTCCACAATTCCCAATTGACAAAGTCCCAGTTAGAAAACTCACATTGCTGAAGAGCGATTGGTCAATTGGTTTGTGTTGGGTAAGCATGGAGAGCTAGTGTTCCTGCAGGAGGTGTGCACTATGTGCTGTCACTGATGAGTGTCTAGCAGGAAAGGAACTTGTCTTTCTGAGAAGGAGCCTGCTGCTGATTCTTAAATTTATTTTATGTGTATGTTGCTTTACCTGCATGCGACTGTAACATGTCCATGCCTGGTGCCTGCGGAGGTCATAAAAGGACACTGGGTCCCCTGGTATGAGTCATATATGTCTGTGAGAGACCATGTGGAGGTACCTGGGTCTTCTAAAACAACACGTGCTCTTAACCACTGAGCAATCTCTCCAGGCTACTGAGTCTCAAACATGTTTATAGCGGCCAGTCCTATCACTTAGCTGATGAGAGACTGGAGTCCCCAGTGTTTTGCAAATTCCGACGTCCAAAAAGAACCAAGTAGCCAACTCAATATAATTACCAAAAAACCCACAGGGTAGCAAAAAGGCCCCCATTTTCCTGTAAGTAGTTCTCTTAGGGACATGTCCCTAGTTTCAGTGGGAACCCATGACATTTAAAATGCTTTTCTTTTCTTTTTTAATGAAGAATTTCCTTACGGAAGTCACTGCTGTTGTGTGTCTCTCTACTGTAGCCTGGAACTAAATCATGCTTCTTCCTACCTGGGGAGCCTGTAGAGCTGGTGTGTCCCCTTCTTGCTCACAATGAAGCATGTGTATTTGTTTGGCCCGGGACCAGCTGGCGGGCTGGGACATGGCTACATTGCAGACACCCAGGCTGGTGCGCCTCCAAGAAATCAATTTGCACCAGAGGGGTAGCAGGCAAAGGTGTAAGGGGAGGGAATGAAATTGCTGGAATGACTTTGAGGGCACATGTCTTTCCAGGCGCCCGTTTCCACCGGGAGACCGAGTCACCTTCAATGGGAGAGACTGCCTTTGTCAGCTTTGTGCACGGCCGATGTCCCCCAGCCCTAAAGAAGCCACCTGCTCAAGCAGTAAGTGTCCCAGCAACCACCAACGGAGACATCTCTGTGTTTCAAAGGTAGCTCACCTTTGAAAAATCCTATTCACCAACACCAAACACAGCCCTATCGAGGGCATTTTCCCTTGTGGGAAAACATTGTGCAGGGTTTACCAAAACCCAGGCAGGGAAAGGCATCATCGTTGCATCAAAAATAAGTGGAATTAGACATCATAGTTTCCATTTTGACAGCCAGCAAGGAAGAATACATGTGAAACTTTACATTTATTTGATATTTACTGACTACCCAAAATGTGCATCACCCTTCAAACAGAAGATAGAGCCCTGAGCAAAGCGAGTCCTCTCACTCACCCTCAGGAAGTTTGCTGTCCAGTGAAGGCACAGAGACAAATTCCCACAGAAAACACCCAATACGTAAAGGAAACCAAGCGTAAAATAAGGTTTTCTTTATGTGGCACAATCAGAGAAGAAAGTAAGTGTGGGGAGACAGTCGCATCTGTGGGTTTGAAATTCTCTATGATGAGATTTCATCTGACCCATGGGAGTCCAGACCCCATAACACACGCTTTCTACCAACACGCTGGGAATGACGTTGACAGATCAATTAGTAACCATTATAAATCATTGTATTCTGAGCCCTGGGGACTGAGCTGGGAAGCTGTTTCAGTTCTTTCCTGGAGCATCAGCAAATGTCCCCAGAATGTGCCCTATGGGTTTTGACAGCCTGCAGGAGACCTGGAATAAATAACCCGCTGCCAGCTCTCTGAGTCCTAGTACAAGAGTAAGGTCGGCATCTTCTATTCTGGACAGATCCTACTTGGTGTTTATAGCAGTGAGCTCGAATCTTCCCGTTGCTGTGGAAATGTTTCACTTATTACAAATAAGAATGTTCTGACCGTCTGCATAGGGACTGGGTTCTGACCCTTGGGAGGAAGAAGAAAATGCAGTATGTACACTTGACAAGGTACTAGACAGGTGTGTTTCTACGGCGTACCACTGGGGGGCAGCAACCTGCCAAGGAACCCAGTGAATAGTTAAGACATGATTAGGGTTGTGGTGTGGGTTCAGGTCCCTCACGGCTCGGCTCTTACTACTATACTCAAGAGAAACAGTTGGACACCGTTGAAAGAGCCACCTTAGGTGGGACTGGCTACCCCATGCTCTCTCAGGGATGAAGTTGAAAATTCATTAATAAACGCCTCAGAGGAATGCTTCTGATGATAGTTGGGACAGGACTGTGATGGGAGAGGCTGTGTTCCCATGATTCACTGCTGAGGTCCTGTAGGTCAACTATCTGTTTTGCAAGGCAGGAAATTGAGGTTCAAAGTCAACCTCAAGGTCACTCAAGCCCCCTACTGACAGATGAGGGCAGATGCCACTCTTCTGACTCCTTGGTTTTAATCTCTCTTTTGCTTTATCAAGCGTCCTCGATTGTTTAGCTTAAGGAAACAGAAGCAGATTCCTCTAAAGTGGCTTCCACTTGCCTCAAGCCATGCATTTTGGGAGCGTGCTCCATTGTGTGGTCATAACCCTTCCAATAGGAGAGATCCATACGTACGTATTTGATACAGAGTCTCATGTCAGCTGGCCTTGAACCCCCACGCAGCCAAGGATGATCTTCAATTCCTGATCTTCTTGCCTCCATCTCCCAAATACTGGGGTTGTGGGTATGCGACGTGACATCTGGCAGATTGTTTTTCTTTCTTTTAGGGAAATACAGTATTTTTATTGTATTTCCTTTGAGAATTCCGCATGTATGCATATGGAAATTGATCACACCCACCTCTTCACTCCTCTCAGTAACTCCTCTGCACCCACGCCTACTAAGTCCATGCTGTCTGCCCTCCTCCTCCTCCTCCTCCTCCTCGGGCATGAGTGTGATATCGATGTCCCACTGATGGCTGAACACTCCACAGGCATGTATCTATGCCTTTGGGCCAGTTTGCGAGTTCCCGTTTAACCGATGTCCACTGCAAATTTAAAAGGCAATACGGTACAGTGTCCATTTAGCGGGATAGTAGCAGTAAATTCTCCCACGGAGTCTATGAGCTCCCAGCCACGATTCCTCAGCCAGGTTTAAAGCACCAGGCTGTTGGCAGAAGTTTCTGTCCCACAGCAGCTCCCAAATAAACACACCAAGGCGTAATATTAACTACAAATGCACAGCCATAGCTCAGGCTTGTTACTACCTAACTCTTACATTTATGTTAACCCACATATCTTATTATGCTTTGCCACGTGGCTGGGCTCCTTTTCTTAGTATGACATCCCCATCCTGCTTCCCTCAACTCCAGACTCCACCCTTCTCCCTCCCAACATCCTCAGTTTGCCCCACCCCAACTAACTAACCTTAACCTGCTCAGCTATTGGCCAGTGAGCTTCTCTATTAAACCAATCACACCAGGCATGCATTTTCTCCTGTGAAGTGGGCCCTGAAGCCAGCCACAAAGTACAGTTGTGTGTTCCCATGGCGACATTCACTGTGTACCCATGGGCATCACCCCATGACTTTCCTGCCGCTGTTGTACCCATGGTCACGTCATGCTATTGCTGGTGGCCGTCGCTCACAGGGCTCACAGCTGGGTAAGATGTTGGATGACTTTTCTCCCTTAGCCATGCTCAGCAACTTGAAGTCCTATGAAAGCCACACCTAATAGCTTCTAGTTTTTATTCTACTTCACATACGAGTATGAAAATGAAACCCATTATTTTGCACAATTAACAGATGCTAATATAAAATTTTTAGTTACATCTACGTCTTCCCTTTTCTGTATGACATTCATGTTACGTCCATAAAAATTTTAATTAAGTGTACAAATGTAGGCAGCTTTAAAAAAAAAAGCATTGTGTCTTACTACTAACTTTAACCATAAAATTGCTTATGTACAACATTGTCAAATGTTATTTTCTCCCTGCTTCCCCTGAATGAAATCACATTGCACTGCAGCTGCTCCATCCAAAGTATTTTTATTTTTTACAAGTTCCCGTCTGCTCAGACAAGTACCAAAAGTTATTGAAGTTATTGATAGGTCGTGAGGGCATCTATGAAGGAGAGTTCTTATATCTCGTTATTCATGTGCAAAATCCCCAGACTAAGCAGGCCACAGATTCTTGAGGACCGGGAATCTTCAGCAACTTTCTGAATGTTGTTGGCACGTAATTAGAAAACATTTGGTTGCTATTTGTAGTTCTCCAAGAATTGCCTCAACTTCAAAACTATTCTGCTGTGACAGCCATTCCTATCTTTAAAAAAAAAAAAAAAAAAAAAAAACTTTTTTTTTTTTTTTTTTTGTTTTTTTTTTGTTTTATACTTGGCAAGAGGCTTCCCAAGAAGCAGGGCCTGACTTTCTTTTAGTGGGAAACTTCCTGTTGTTAATTGTGATAACTTCTGTGACCGACATCAGTGAGCCATGGCCTCTCTGGCCTTCAGGCTGGAGCCCCTGAGCCTCAGCTGGGCGGCTGCTTTTTCCTGATTGCTAAGAAGGAAACAAAGACCATGGGAGACAGCAGAGGCACGGAGCAGGGAGAAGGGAGCCTCTGAGGCAGTAAAGCTACCCAAACATTCTGTCTCCCTGCTTACTGTCCGGTCTGTGCCATTCTGACCTCTGTGCTTCTCTGTGTCTGTGTACGTGTGCACATGTGTGTGCGTGTACATGTGTGTGCATGTGTGTGCATGTGCAGGCTAGAGGGCAACCTCAGCTGTCAGTCATTCCTTAGGTGTTGTCTAGCTTGTTTTTTTGAGACAGAATATCTCACTGGGATTGGAAGAGCAAACCGGCACACCTACCCTTTTTATTTTTGCACGGATTCTGGGGGAACTGAACCTTTACCAACTGAGCAGCCTCCCCTTCAGAGCTCGTTTCCATCTTAAATTATCACCCTTAGCTCTGACTTGTTTTCTAAGCATTGACATAGCGCTTCTGGTATGCCAGGAATGCTACTTCATTGGCCCAAATTAGCTCTAAGCTCTCTACATGTTCTCAAATGGAGGTGATAATAAAAGGCACCTACAGGGCTGTGGGGACACTATAATGCCTTTTGAAAGGTGATGGACAGAGGTTATGTCCTGCCCTCTCGCCTCACGCCCCTCCAGCCTCGTAAGTTTACTAGCAGCTAAGGGACTGGATTGCCGTGATTAAAGAATCAGAGAGGGGCCAGATGAGCATTTCCTGCTGTTCCTGTCTATTTCAGGTACCCAGGCAGGAGTGGACTGCTGTCTACACTCAGCCTTCCCACCTCAAAAGATGTCTGAGTGGAGTCTGCTTTTGCGAGGGTTTGGTGGATCAGCTAGAGAAGCTCCCACACAAAGGCATCCCTGCCTGTCTTTCTGTTTCCCCTCCTCTACAAAGATCTCTCTCTCTCTCCCTCTCTCTCCCTCCCTCCCTCCCTCTCTCTCTTTCTCTCTCTGGTAGCAGGTAGCAGGTGCGCTCTGATTGGGCAGAACTGAAACCCCTTCCATAGAGTTGTATGCTTGCTTTCCAGGGGAGGGAGACATCTCCCTTATTTGACTTTTCTCCTTGGTGCAATGGCTTTTCATAGTTGAAAGATACTTTTCAGTTGTCTTTGTGTTCCCTCTGCAAACACGCGCAGGTCGGAAGGGAATTGTCTGCTGCAACCCCTGACAACAGATGTAAGGGTGAACTCTAATCTGGGTGAGACCCTGGCCCTGCCACTCCCTAGCAGCCTCTACCCATCCACCCTCGGTTACCCCTCCCCCGGATGGATGGATGGATGGACAGTGGGGTTCATGCAGGATCACATGAGCAGCTGCTTCAGAATCTGGCCAGTTATAACTCAGAACCCTAATGACAAGTTACGGTGCAGGCAATCACTTCTGAATTTTCGTGGCATGTCTCTGCTTTTGTGAATTTGCCCCCCCCCTTTTTTTTTTTTTTTTGGTCTTTTATGATAAATGCCTTATCCATTCATGTGACATTCTCTAACCAACAAGAAAGGTGGCCTAGTGACATGGCTGAACACAGAATGCTGCATGGGTATGAGGGCCTGAGGGCC